TCTCATTAAAACCAGTTTTCAAGCTTATGCCATCACACTCTGCTCTCCTCTACCTGTGTAAGCATTCTAGCAGCCATATACAAGGGTTTGCAAATACTACCAGACACATATTGGCCGAACACCTACACCTACTGGTCAGAAGCTCTATAGGGAAGCTATAGGGAAGGATTTGGTTTCTTTCCTGTCATTGTCATGGTTGGTGGTAACCATCATCTTTCACAACAGCCTCTGTGACCAGTAGGTGTAGGTGTTTGGCCATTTTGGGCTTGTGCAGGCATTTCCGGTACTGCTAATTTGCAGTGTGGAGGAAGAGGCTTTGACACTGGAAGATCCCGATGTCAAAAAAATCCTGCACCTACAAAAAACAGGGGCGGTGTATGTGGTGGCAGTGGGCGCTGCCTGAAGCTGGAACCTGGCTGGCTAGAGCCATGTTCCAGCTGCTGGCCAGGCTTCTTCCTTCAGGATCGCCATGGCTGCAGCCCCCGGAGGCCCCAGGAACCCAAGTAAGGCCCATACTGTGCCACGGCTGTTTGTCACTGGGGAAACGCATGTTCCCACTCATGGGGACATGCCCTATATGTCTGGTACTATTTGCAACCCCTGTATATGGGTGCTAGAATACTTACAGAGGTAGAAGAGAGCAGAGAGTGATGCTCTGTCTTTTTTCAAAGTGCTCCAGCTTTTATATCAGCTTCTGGCTACTAGTTGTTTGCTGTGGTTGACAACTCCCTCTAAACTCCTCCTGGCTACTAGAAGGAAAACGAAGCACTCTCTTTCTCTCCACTTTCTGATCCTAGAACATCATGACTACAGGATGGCCCCTGACTATTGGAGAGTGTCTTCACTACCTTACCTCCCTCCTCAGCTTTCTGGTCATTTCCATACAGGCTCCTTTCTTCAACCTCTTTTTTATTATATTACTTTTTAAACAGAACCAGCATTTGCCTCTCCAAATGCTCAGCACAATGAAATAGGCTGATATTGGTCAGTTCTACTGGCACCCACAGGGTTCTGATAAAACTAGTCACTGTAGTAGCTAGAGAAAGCAGCAGCAGCAGTTGTAATGGTTCTGTCTGCAAACTCAGGCTAGCAACACTAGATACATTCAGTTTACATTTGAATGGTTGTCCTCCAAACATAATGGAAATTAAAGCTCAGATTATGCAGAAGTTAATGACACTGTCCTGGGAAAACTTCTTTGCCCTGATTAGTGAGTGCTCAAGCATCATATTCATTGATTAGTTTATTCAGTTAATAATTAATAGAGTAATTCATTCAGTTAACAAGTTGATATGGGCCACTGTGGTTCTGGCTAAATGTGTTCTGATGCTCCAGATGTTCTGAGGTGTTTTATTTTGTCTTGCCAGACTAAGAATTAAACCAAAGGCTTAAAAATACCACCAGAAACCTAATGCCTAATGCCACCAACAGTCTTGACCTAGGACCAGGTCCTATTAATCTCAATGAGAATTTTGCCTGAGTGAAAATTGCAGGACCTGGGTCCAAAGGAGAACACTGCAGCACCAGCTCCGTTTATCTTATGGCAACAGTTGGATACAGATTCTCACAAACTCTTGAACTCAGTGGAGGAAGAGTAAATAAATGATATACTAGGAGAAGCAATCTGGAAAACAGTTCAGCCAAGTAAAAGAATTCTAGAACAACATATCAAGAAATGACTTGGATATTCACATAAGGAATATGGTATGGTCTGGAAGGAGATGCAAAGCATTCAGGGTACACAGTGCTAGCCAGATTTTCAAGTCAGATGCCAAAACTGTGCAAAATGTTGAACACACACCCTTTTTTTACAGATAAATCTTGAACTTGTACATGCAAACAGTGCACATCTACCCAGATGGCACGACTGAAGGCCACTTTGCACATGCAAATTAAGCCACATGGAGAATGCACATGTGTAATTTTGGAGCCCTCATTGGAAAATCCATCCCTATACAGCTATAAAAGTAGAAACAGACGGTCAAACATACAGTTACAGATAAACAGATCTATACATGAAGGAAAATGGAAGAGTTAACTTTCTTACATTTAGATGTAAACAAGGAATTTAACATTTGTTCTACAAGCTAATTATGTTTATGCTCATCCAAGACAGATCCACTTAGATAATAGAAGAGTAGAGTGCCAGAGAGCCTGAAAGGAATAGGCTATTGTGTTTGACTAGTTTCCATGTATAAATTAGAGCAGAGAAAAAAAGAAAGTCTGCAGAAAAACACATGTACTTTATTATAATTCCTAGTGTTACTCTCGCAACTACCACAATAGCAGGCAAAGGAGCTAAAGACCACTGAAAACAGGTAAACAGCAAATGCAAATTTGATTAAATGCCTTTTTGACAAGAAGTGGTTTGACTTCAAGTTTGGATGAACACATGTCAATGGCTGGTCATGGTTTCAGCCACATTCTCGTTGAGTTAGACAACTGTGGTTTGCTTGGGTTGCTTTTTAGTTTTTAATGAAACAGGGAAATCTTTGGAATAGAATGCCTGCTTTCTTTTGTTTCTTTTAAAAGTGGTGTGCTACTATTTCCTTAGGATACAAAAGTTCATAGGGCAATGAGCAATATTCTCCAAATACCTGATCTCAGTCTGGAGAGAGAGAGAGAAAGAGAGAGAACATCATTTAGACTTAGGTTCAAAACTGATTTAAGAAGTCACAGACTCTGAGCATTCTGGACCAGATTTTCACATGTGCTTATGCACTTAACTTAGATATTGATGGGATTTATGTTCCTAAGTACAGGTGAATATTGGGGTGATACTCTAGAGCAATTTACAAGGTAAATTCGCAACCCCACCCCCCTGGGAAAATCATCCACTGAGAGCTTTTCAGTGAGATTTTGCCCCAGCAAAGCCTGAGGTGCCCAGATAGAGTACATTCATCATTACTCACAGCTACATCCTTTCAAACAGGTAGAGAGGTAAAACCAATGCTGGATGTCAATTGTCTCAGCCTTTTATTACAGTAAGGCAAGGGATGAGAACACGTCTGGGCTTTGCTTACCTTCTTGCTGGTACACTTATGCAGAAGGCCAAGTGTAGCCTTCAGCATGCTGTTCTTTCCATGTGGCAGTTTGTACACATGTGGTATACACAACAGCGAGTGATATATCACTATGGAGACCAATACCAAGTCTTGCTGGTGGGCTGAGTGCTTACTATACTATCCTTAACCTGGTCAACAGGACTACAGTACTCACCAGAGCAGGGAATGCTTCTACTGTTACATCTGCAGGACTGAGCCAGTACTTTGTACTTACAGGTTCAAACTCTGAATATAATTTCAGCTCTATAACTCAATATTTTCTATAGCTCAATATTTAATGGGGTTGGTGAGTTTTAAACAAGAACAGCATCCAATCCAGTGTTTATGGGCCTGACCCCAAACCTACTAAGGTCAGCATGGGTCTTTCCACTGATTTCAATAGATTCTTCATCAGGCACCATATAAATAGATTGGATGGCAGGCTCTGACACCAACATGTATGTTGATATATCTCAGTGCTTCTCCGTTATATAAGTCCAAATCAAAATTTAAATTCCTGCTGTCTTTACTCAGTCAAATCTCCCACTGTAATCAAGTAAGGGAGAGAGAAAAGAATGTCCAAGATTCTGAAAAAGAAAGTTGAGCTTTTTTCACATCACAATTCTTAAGGCACAAAGAGTTCTATTTTAAAAATCTCTTGCAAAAAAAAAATCATGCAAACACAAACTGGTATAGTATGAAATATAATGCATAATGGTTGGCAACAGAATGCACTATTTATTTTCATGAATTAGGGACTGAGTACATAATTCACAAGCAGTGGAGTGAAGTAACTACAAGTAGTGAGGGTCTGATTTTAACATGGGGCCAAATCCTATAGTATGTAAAGAAATTCTGATCTTTGGAATATAATAATGATCTTGCAGTTATTACGTGAATAAAATATGGACTTTGGTGTAAAGTTTTACATTCATTTACAAGATTTCTTGCTCTGACTCAATTCAAATTAGTGAAACAAATTTTCTGAAGAGACTCAATTTATGTGCATGCCAAGAACACTTTGCTATTAAAAGTATGCACTCTATTATTAATATTTTCACTGTAGAGTTTTGGGCAGTAAACGTGCAGTCCATACCCATTAAATTAAGTATGTGAGTCATGATTTTCATGTGAAAATCTGATCCGGAATGCTCAGAGTCTGTGACTTCTTAAATCAGTTTTGAACCTAAGTCTAAACAACGTTCTCTCTCTCTCTCCATACTGAGATCAGGTATTTGGAGAATATTGCTCATTGCCCTATGAACTTTTGCATCCTAAGGAAATAGTAACACACCACTTTCAATTAAAGAGCCCAGCTGTGGGGTTCACCTGTAGAGCGTCTTATCAATGTGATTGAGAGTCACTTACAATAAAATAAATAAGGAATGATAAATAACAAGGACCAGCTTTATATCTCTAAAGTGCCTCTGAGATCACGTAGCATAATATTTAACTTCTAAAAGTTAGTATTGGTTTATCTCTCTAATGATTTACAGTAATTATCAGAGATAATCTGAGTTGGCTGCTGGAGAAGTTCCAATACATGTTGTACCTGGTTTCTCTGCATGTGCACAGGAAAAAAAAAATTCCTTTGATTTACAAAAAAGAGAAAAAAAGGGACGAACACCCTCCCCAGCACCTAGTACATAAAATTCCATGAGCACTACAATGTGTTACAGTTTCATTTCAAGGGGCAAAAAGGGCTGTTGTCCAAATTCCACGCATTCATATCACCATTCACATTATATCACTCCCCAAGTTTGCATAAATCTATGCCAACCTTTGGGTTCTACCTGCAGCAACCTATGCTAACAAGACTCAGAGCCCAAGTTACATTAGAGAGGCTGAAACTTGTGGAAGTGGTTCAAAGTCATCTCTTTCTACCTGGAGTTTGAAAGATTAAAAACAAAGTCAACTGCAACAGTTAAGTATTTAAATAAAAGAAACGGCATTTACCAGGAGCAGGGAAGCCAGGAGCGGGAACAGAGTGCCAGCAGTTGCCCAACGGCAGCATTCCATGCTTGGATCCTTGCCGGAATCTGAATCGGACACTGTATAAGCTGCTAAGTGCTCCTCTGCCTGCTGTCACATCCAGTACTGGTGCTAACACTTCAGCCCTGCCTATCAGCTTCCATCAGCTCTGCTCACATTTCCTGACCAAGGGGTGGGTGGGGGGTAAGCTGAATGGAATCTCTCTCCAAGCAGGCAGCCAGCCAATCAGGCTCTTGCTAATCAGACATGCAGAATAACAAAGGCAAGGGGTCCAAGGAAAGTATAACAGTGAAAGAAAGAGAAGGAAAAAGAGAGACAGCGAAGGAGGAGGAGAGAGGCAGAATGGCAAAGATGACTGTAGTGCTCTGCCTTTACCTAACTGTACTGCTGTACTTGCCATGAGCTGTTTGCACTTATGGCTAGTATGGTAGCTCTCCTGACTGTGCATAGTTCCATTTGGGATGGAAACTTAATCCATGTCAATATATAACATATGCCATAAAAGGCAGAAATCATGACAAACAGAACTCTCCAAGAGAGAAAGGATATTTTACTTAAACAATCTCCTGTATTTTTTAAAGGGAGGTGGTTTGCAAATCCTTTTTACACCATTTATGCAAACCTAAGAGTTCCCCTCCTCACTCCAAAATTGACAAATAGTTTTAAGTTTTCTTACAAAGCTGGGTGAGAAATTGTTTCCCATTTTGCAAAATTTTTCGAGATTGAAAATTTTTCCCTTTCTACATTGGGATTAAATAGAGACCTGTCAAAATTTTTCATAAACAACCCTGTTGTTAGGACATTTGCCAGGTGCATGTTTTAACTTCTGGGATCCTGTACTCTCCAAGTTCTCTATTTTGTACTATGAAATTGCATCCTAAATACAATGAATGCTTCAGCAAAACTGGCTCATTTACGGGGAAAGATTCATTTTCCATAACTGGCCTTTCAGAAAATTCCTAACCTGCTCCACTTTCTAACCATTTTGTGGTTGCTTATTGTACCTGGATGGCAGTAGCCAGTTATGTACATCAATACACCTGGGAAAGGTGTCGGCTTGTAAAATAATGGAAAAAGAAAAATTGTTTCTTGAAGAAGAGCAATTCAGAATATCTGCTTCCAAAAGGATCTACTGAAGCTGATGGAGGGATCTGCTTCTTTGATTTAGTTTAGGTAACTACTAATCCAGGTCTAGCTTTGCTTAATTAGCAGTAACATAGCTGTGGTTCTCGACCTTTTCTGTACCAGGACCCATTTATAAACATCAATGGCCAGTCCTAACCTAGTGCCCCCAGACCCTGTCAGTGTCCCTCACCTCTGACCCACAGCGCCCTGACCCTGCTGATGCCTCCACTTTTAAGCCACAGACGCCCAGCCCTGCCAGTGCCCATCAATCCCCACCCACAGCCCCCTGGCCCTGCCGATGCCCCTCACACCCAAGCCATAGTCCCCTGCCCCCCTGGGCCATGCTGGTGCCTCTCATTCCCAACCCGCAGCCCCCTGTCTCCCCCTAGCCCTGCCAGAGGAGGCCCCCAGCTGGTCATGGCAGCCTGGTCATGGTCCCACCCGCCCTCTGAGCAGCATCTCCTGGGTGCCCCGCCCCTGTGAGTACAGGCACCGGCCCCAGTACTGCCAGCCCAGCCACACAGCTCCCCACCACTCCTGAAGGACACCCCTATCCCCTTCCCCCACTGGATGGGCAGGGACCTTCACCCTTGTCTTGATGCAGCCTCAGTGCCTGGTCACCTTCCCCCAGTGCCAGCCTGCACCTGCTGCTTCCAATCATGCCAAGCAGCTACTTGTGGGCTGAAATGTTGCCAGACTGCAAGAGGAAACTTATGCTTTCCCACACATTTCTGGGACTTGCTCATGGCCCTTTCAAATATCCTTGTGACCCACTTCTGGGTTGCACCCCATGGGCTGAGAAACACTGATTTATAGCAAACCTGACTAAAGTGTAAGATGTTTTATCTACAATTGCCACCAACTATGGCTAAATACAGATGTTCAAGAAGCCCAAGGTGGAAATGCTGTAACTTTCAAGCTTTACTATAAGTGCCCAAGGTTAGGTCAGGAGTAAGCAGAGTACACGTTAGCCCTTGGTGTGGGGGAGGGAGGGAAAGGGGAGGCTCAGAACCTGCCTGCGTGGGTCGAGTCCAATAGGTAGAAGGGGCTCTCGTATGCCTCCCAGTGTGCCCTGCGGGCTCCCCGGGCTGCTGATTAGCTGTTGGGGACACCAGGGCTGCCTACCTGGACCTGATGCAACAGTGGCTTATCATGGCATGTGCCCTCATGTCCACAAGCCACCTAGTGTGTGTGTGTGTCAGATGCCTGGTGTCTCAGCCGAAACTAAGTATGGGTGCCGATGACACAGAGCTAGAAGCTGAAGTAAGAAAGCAATAGGCGAAAAGTCCAAGCTGTCAAATGGAAAGTCCCAACCTGTAAGCAACTTCGGTTGCACATGCTCAATCAGACATAGTTCACGCGGCCAGTGCGTGATCAGCCAGAATCTTCCATGCAACTCACATTGCAATTGGCTAACGACGACATATATAAACCACTATAATTTCCGCCCAAGGCAGAAACCAGCTCTCATCAGAGCCCGGCTCACGCGAGCCCAGAGCTGCCTCACAAACTGGCCATTTGTGATTGTTTCTCCACCACCACTATCTCCCGGCATACCCCACCCTGCATGCTCGAATGATCCGTCTACAGCTTTCGAAGTCGAAATATTCAGCTGTCGTCCGAACTTGAATCTGTAACTACGCAAGTTGAACTGTCTACGTTACGCTCTGAACCTTGGTAGCGTAAGTTAATAAAAGTTTTCTTCTGCAACCATACGAGTAATTGCCGCCTGACTCCTCGCTGCTAGACCCCACCTGCTCGATTGTGTCGGCCCAGACCATGACCAACCAACTTGGTCGCCACACCTGGGTTCTGTGCATGTGTGCATGTGTGTGTGTGTCCTAGACATGTGGGTTCTCTGTGTGTGTGTGTCTGTCTGCCCGTCCGTCCCAGATGTCTGTATTCCAACCCCCTGGCCACTGGTGGTGGCCCTGGCCCTGCAAAGCAGCAGGGTGTCTGGATCTATGAAGCCATAGCTGGATAGCTTCTCACACTTAAACAAAACCAGTGGAATGTTGCCCAGTCTGGAACTTGGAAACTTCTTCTTAGTTAACATTAAGAAAGTGGAGAAAGACCCTGGCAGCAGCTGGCAGTATTGATGCTGAGAGAGGGAAGAGGATAGAAAGCCATGGGGGACTCAACTTACCAACAAGAAATCTTGTAGTGGCAGGGGGAATGCCACGCATGCAACTGCCACCCTTCTGTTTAATTAAATGTTGCAGCTGCCAAATGTTTTATGTGCATAATAAAGAAAACTAGAATTTTACCCACTTCAAAACTTGGACTCAAGCCCAGGGGGCTGCCTATCTTTGCAGAGGCTGCACCAGTCCCCTGCAGTGGGACCCAGGCCTGGATTAACCTGACCTGGTGGCAGTTGAACCTTGGCTGTTCCCTCCCCACCCCTCCCCCCTGCCATGGGGTAGTGAGTTGGCCCTGGAAGGTAAGCTGAGTCAATGCTTGCCCTGGCATCAGGTCTTGGGCAGCCTGGTCCCCCTCCCGTCCTGCACTTTTGCTCCCCAAAGCAGGTCCTACCAGACACCTTCCTGGATCCTTGGACCCTGAGTCAGCAGCTCCCACGTGCCACATCTCCTGTTCCAGGGTCCCCTGCTCCCCAGCATCAATGCACAGTGTAGAGTACTCCTCCTTGGCAGCCATCCAGGGTTAGCCTCTGTGGGACTCCCATTCCTGTCACCCCAGAGAAGAGTCCTTGGAGTGGGACTCTCCATGTTAAGGAGGTCTGGGATAGTTTCTCTGCAGGAGGTGGTGTTGATGCCACTCAGGGTTGTTGTAGCTGGACCCAAAGTGGTCTTTGTGCATAAACTCCTTATCCTGGTGCTGAAATTCTCACTGCTCCATAGTGATGCAGACTCTGTTAGACAGCAGGTGGCCATCTATAGACCTAATTCTTGGACCTTCACATCACATTTCTGGTCCTGGACAGCTTGTTCATGTGCCATGGTAGCACAGGTGCAAGCAATCACCAACCGTCCATTCCAACCTCCCACATCAAGGGTCTCATTTTGTCTTCATGTTGCCAATGCTGTCTACACACACATCTCCAGCGCTCTGCAGGTATCCAGTCAACTATCCTAGATCCAGCATCATGGGCTTCCCATGCAACATCACAACTGGGCCTCCCAATGCCAAATAGGGAGTCTGCAGACCAAGGAGACACTGAGGGACCTATGGCAAGTCCCCTGTCCAGACTTTTTCCCCCGCCTGGGGCCAAAAGCCATATGGCTGCTTACAACTCAGTACTGACCACATCGTGGAATGCCTGCATTCTGCCTCCCAATAGGGAAAACCTGGATGCCTGGGGTTCATCTCCTTACTGTGGGAGTCGGGAGGGTTGGGAAACCCAAGTGTCCAGGTGCAGCGGTGAACTTTCTTTTGTTCTCTGGGAGGAGAAGGAAGGCAGATGTAGGTGGGGGGATTCCCTAGGGGGAATTTTTCCAATTCCAGCTGTGCCTTACCTGCAGCAGTGCTCATATGTATATGTTCTGAAAATGGCACCCAGAGGCATGCCCAAGAAAACCTGCAGTTGTGACTGTTAGTTGCACCTCAGCTGTGGGGCTCAAAAAAAGCTTTCAGTGTTTTTTGGGGTGTATTTGGGTGCTGGTTTGCATTAGGTGGATCCATGTCAACGTGCTAGCCTCTCAGGAAAGCAATGTGACCTTGAGGGATAGGGCAGTCAGTTGTCAATTAACCATATTTATGGTCCCACTCAATACAACACAGACTAATGAGCCCCCAACAACATGAAAAGAGGCTGAGGGAACTGGGTTTTAGTCTGCAGAGCAGAAGACTGACAGGGGATTTGATAGCAGTCTTTAATTACCTGAAGGGTGTTTCCAAGACGATGGAGCTAGACTGTTCTCAGTGGTGGCAGATGACAGAACAAGGAGCAATGGGCACAAGTTGCGGCAAGGGAGGTTTACGTTGGATATTAGGAAAAACTCTCACTAGGAGGGTGGTGAAGCACTGCAACAGGTTACCTGGAAAGGTGGTAGAGTCTCCATCCTTGGAGGTTTGTAAGGCCCAGCTTGACAAAG